GTTGGTCGCCTATACAGACGAGTTCCCACTAAAATACCAAAAATTTACCGCGAATTGGGGAAGGATTGGGCGACCAACCATGTTCGTCGCCAATAGGTTCTGGTGACTACTGGATTTGGTCGCTAAAGCTTACTTGGTTCGTCGCTAAAATATTGTTATTTTAAATGTTAATAATGTTTTTATTTATATTCTGTTTTGTGATAATATTAACCTTTTGTTCATCAACATTTTGCAATTTCAAAAAATAAAAGAAGGTAAATAGATCAATAGAAAATGACATGAATAAAAGTTTCTCTCATTCAAAAGTACACAAGCGTACTAATTATTCAAGTACACATTACATAGTGACATAAACGTGTGAAGAACTCTCCACTCAAAGATTGGAGGCCAAGCTCCATATATTCTTGCCCTTGGTAAACCCAAGTTCTGCAGTTATTATTCCCCCACTCTAAGACTAGGTTTCGACTGGAAAAATGCATGTGTACTATGCCTTTGTAATTCCAAGTTTTGTGGTCATGATCTTTAACATTGTGGGATAGGGACTATGATCTAATATGGTGGAATTCCCAAGCACTATGCCAATTGTTGCTTGATCTTCTCAAAGTCATCAATCTTCCTTTACAAAAGAAACAAAACAAGGAAATGCCAATGGTCAAGAAGATGCCAAAACCAAGAGAATTTAAATATAAAGAATATATAGAGACCAAAAACAAACAATTTTCGATAACACAATTACAAGAAATCTTGCACAAACCCATTAGAAAACATAAATCATAAAATCCAAAGTATAATCCACACCTTAACCAACATGGGTTGCATAACTTCTCAACACAATACAAAACATGTATTCCATTTTAATACCCTTAAAAAAACAACACCACAATGACATTGACAACCACTCTAGTTGTTAATAAGAAAACAAGTGGTAATGTGAAGAAGAGGTTCTTACCTCAAATGGTCCTCTATCCAAAACCCCAAACCAAATCCTTCCACCTCCTCAAATAATCTCATATGCAAAAACAGAATATTACCTCAGTAAAGTTAGACTCCTAAATGACACTGTTCTAATCACATTATAAGATAAAGAGAACCACAAACCCAAATAAGGCAATCGCTCATTGGTTTTAATATTTTCAATGCATACAGAAACACTGAATGACAACTTTTTCAGTTTCCACTAGAATACAATGAAGAATTGAAATAAAAAGAGATCTAAATGTAGAAAAACAGGATTGAATTGAAATAAAATAACATGAAAAATGCTTTAAAAGTGAAAACACAAGCTAACAGAGTATGATCCTAGTGAAAAACTAGAATTCTTTATCATATTTTCAAGCCTACGAGACACAATTTTCTTCAGCACATAGCACGACATTCCTAATTTTCTAGGCACTTCAATTTGGTCTTCAACCATTGCTAAGCAAAAAGACAATTCAACAAATAGAGTATGGAGTAGTTTTCAGTAAATCATAGATGACCAAATAAATATTTTGTTAAACAATTTGGGCAGAAACACTTCAATTTGAGAAATTCACTAAAAATTCAATTTGAGTCAAAATGGTGCGAAACTTTACAGATCAGAACTAGACACATAAAACTTCCTCACATAAAAATTTCATGGCATTCGAAATTAAGGAAGCATGTCAAAAACAAAATCTAAAACAGACTGGGCTGTAGAGTTTTCTGCTTCCTGCAACATAACAACTACTTTGAAAATTTGCCAAAAATTCAATTTAACTCCAATTTGTATGGAACCAGTTTTCAAATGCTCATTGACATGTCTAATTATTAAAAAAACCAGATCAAAATATAAATCCAAACTAGGCCTTCTGGTCCAGAACATAACACAAAATCACAGATTTCTGCATAACCTCATATTTCATAAACCAACCCAAATCTTAAAATTCAACACTTATCAGCTTTAAACATCAAACACTAAATCATTCAAATGTGACTATTTACTCACTTATCAGCTTTAAACATCAAACACTAAATCATTCAAATGTGACTCTTTACTATTGAAAGAGTATTAATCTAAAATGACCAACTACAATGGAAAAAAAACAAACAAAGGCAGAGCTTAAATTGAATAACCACCTGTGAAATTTTTACAACAAAAACCACAATGGCAGGTGCAACAATTACGCAGCTTCTCCTGCACTAAACAACATGGCTAAATAGCAAAAACTCTAAAAGAAATACAAAGTGTCTATAAAAAAAAAAATGGAAAATTTGATATATCATTGAAGAAACAAGGCTACAGTGCAATATTGAGTTACAAAGCACAACCAATTAAAGAAAGGGAAAACAGAGGAAAATGCAACTACAAAAACAGAGAGAGAGAGGGGGGTTGTCAAAACCTAATTCCATTCCACATCTATGTACCCAACCAATTCAATAGAAAATTAAGTTCTAAATACGCAAGTGATGTCAAAAAAAAAAAAAAAACTTATAAATTTCATCACCATGAAAAACATAGAAAAGTACACATGAGTTTTCAGTATAAAGAACCATTGTCAAGATATACGAACTCAACCGCACTAGAATTTTTAACAAATAAAACCACATAAAGAATACATACCAAGAACGAGATACAGTTGGGCATGAGCCATGACCTTTGCTATTACAGGTCTGAAAACACTCAAGAAAAATCAGTTTCAATCTCCTTCAACCACCAAAAAAAAAACCCAATAGGCACCAGATCTAACATTAAAACCTTCAATGAACCATAAATTGCAATTGTATATGAAAGAAAATTGATGAAATTGAAAAAGAAAAAAAATCTTACCTTTCTAGTCAATTTCAGTCAACTGTATATGAAAGAAAATTGATGAAATTGAAAATCTTACCTTTCTAGTCAATTTCAGTTTTGGAAAGGGATTTAGGTGTGATGAGAGAGAAGCAGACCCAACCCGAAGGCATAGCAAGAGATAGGATAGAGAGGAGAATGAGAAAGAGAGAGAGGGCAAATTTACAATCTTAACTGGAACACCTCAGTGCCTAATAAGATTACTTCTTATTGTAGTTCATCCTGCAAATTTACAAACTTATAAATAGGAGCACCACACTACACTGAAATAAAGAGAAAAAGATCAACCATGTTTATCTTCAACTACACACAGTTTAGCTAACAGTTTCACTAAGCACAAGCATATCTATGACAGACCTTAAAATTGAACATATCTCACATTTCAATCATCATTGTCAAAGTAGAAAATTTGCATAAGTCACAAGCTTAGATTTGCATAAAACCAAGATTACAAAGACTCACAACCTGAGACAACAATACATTAATTTCAAGTGCTAGCAGCACCAACACCATATTTATTGCTAAATCCATCTCAAATTGGTTAAAAACAAATTAGCACCTTCTATTAGTGTTGGCTTTTTTATTCAGCCTTAAGCAGTCAACAAACACTTACCTGTTACTCTTAAATCAAGGATTAGACAGATGTTTGTGCCTGATGAATCACGGCCATAAGCTGGCCGAAGGAGCCCCTTCTCTCGGCCCTGGCACTTGTTTGTAAAATCTGAAACGCAGCGTTTCGCCAGGGTACTTTGCCTTCCTAGAGATAAAAGAAGACATGCTAAGGCATGAGCATCTCGGCCTCAAGCGCAGGCCGAGGCCGAGCCCGAACAGAATCGCGGTCAAGGCATTAAAGGCAAATCATCACGTGACAGCAGGGTCCCAGGCTTCATTTAATGAAGTAGTGCCTGTTTAATGCAGCAAACCCATTGGCCACAAAGAGGCATTTAATGCATGAGGGAAGGTGGGAAGTGACTGAAGTCAGGATTTGGTGATGAGGATCAGAGTGATTAGACGTGGACATTCTCACAAGAATTCTGACAGCCTGAGATATTGGTTCACCAGCTATCCAGGCCATAAATGCGTCTCCACGGCCAGAGGCTCAGAACCCATGATCGAGAGCGGCGGCCGAGATTCACCGGGATTTCTGGGGTCACACCACCACACTTCACGATCCCAAATGTCGATTGGACTGCCCACTTGCGCTAATCAGACTCCACTATGCGTAAATTCAGCCTCGATTACTCATCCAG